CCATCATTACGAACCTTCGCCTCAGCTAATGGGTGGCACCCGCCCACCTTCGATCAACAGAAGCATGCCACGTGTGCCCCTCTTCCAACGGCTCTATTACAACGGCCATATTTCCGAAATACCAGGATGTCCTCGGATAATAGCCTCCGCCTATCACCAACTACAGCCTTCGGTGATTACTTTCACCGAGCGCCTTCGAGAAAGAAGTAGTATAAGCCTTCGGCTTATCGACAATTTCACTCCCAGTTAATGGCACCCCTCGGGGCTACACGCAAACATCATAACTCCTTCAAACCGAACTTACCTTCGATCCAAAGGAGTGGGGGACTGGGATACACCCCTCGGGAATCACACACAAAATACACAAAAATTCCCAAATGCAACAAATTCACAAGTGACGCATACAGCCTCCGGGCAAACATCAAAGTAAAAGCCCTCGGGTACATACTTCAATAAACCCCTTCGGCAGAAAACAAGTATCAAAATTTTTTTCCCCACATCACTTGTGGAAATAAAGCAGCCCTCATCACAACACATGCAGGCAATACATCTATGTTTTCCTCAGAAAACCCTCGACATGTGAGGGACTGAGGGAAGCCTTCGGCAATCAGCAGAAGGCAAGTTCTCAAGCAAAGGCGCCCAACTAAATGGTGAAGCCTCCGGAAGAATCAACACATCTACTCCTTTTCCCTCAAGTACCTTTCGGCAAAAGGAGTGAGGGACTCCTGATGGAGTATATGGCCCAGGAACCCCCGACCCATAGACTCCTACTTCTCCTACACAAGTCCATTGGGCCCAGAGAACAACGCAGGCCCGAATGCAACGGCCCAAGCCTCGAGGTGGCCCAGAATACACGCTGGGGTGCCTTCGGCCTCCTTGGCCGAAGGCTCCAAAACTCACAGGATAGCCTTCTCTGACATAAGAAGCTACTGGGAGAAAACGGCGAAAAACATAAGCCTTCGGTATTATTAAGCCCTCGGCATCAGAGAAGCCTTCGGTCACACGAGGCCTTCGGCTACACAGGGGTCCTTGGTCGCATGGAGCCCTCGGCTACACAAGGAGCCTTCGGCCAAACACGCTCAATCATCGAAGATTCCTTTTGGAGACAGCCAACCACCGCATTTAATGCCACGTCACATCCGCCAACCGCATTCAATGCGGTTAACGTACCACTGCCGGTGCCACCTGGCTGATGTGACCCTTCGGCCGTTGGATTACTGACACGTGTACTCTCATCGCATTTATTGCTGCTATAAATAGCAGCCCTTACTCTCCTTGTGAGCCACGCTGAGTTCATTTAATAAAATCGACTCTCTCTCCTCCTATTTACTCTGACTTCTCTCTAGTTATTCCCGCAATAACCCTTCGGATAAGATACCCCCCGGGTAGACTATCCATCAGTAATATTCCATGAAATCATCTACTCCCTCCGTCCCATAATTATCTTCATTCTTTCCTTTTTGGTCCGTCCCAAAATTATCTCCTCTTTCCCTTTTTAGCAAAGGATTTGTGGTTCACAACCATTCTTACACATTTCTCTCTCCTCTGCACAACTCTCCACCACACATTTCCCACTTTCTTAATCTCTGTGCCCAGTCAAAACCGAAGTTAATTCTGGGACGGAGGGAGTACTAAAAAGGACATCTGTGGACAGTGGTTTAGGAAGGGAAAGGGAATCAAACGAGAAACATGCACTACCATTATAAAGATTTGAAGCAAATTCTCACTTTACAAGATCAACTTACTTCTATCCAGGCAAATTATTTTTTTGTTTGTGAATCTCTTTCACAATTAACATGTTTGCTAATCGTGACAAGATCAACTTACTTCTACCCAGGCAAGTTATTACTTATACTCCAATTTTATATCCACCGTGACAAGTTATTTTTTTGTTTGCGAATCTCTTTCATGGACAAGACATACATGTTTGTTCACCGACAAAAAATAATTTTCTTTACAGTTTATGTTTTTGACAATGAATCCTGTTTTTATTACTACTTATAAACCAAGTTCTCAATACGGGTGGGATAGCTCATCTAAGTTTCGGGTTTGAATCCCGACAACTTCGACGGGAGGTAAATATGTAAAAGTGCATATGGTCTCTGCAAGTACCTGAGTTAGAGCCTAATTGACTATTGCTTTTGATTAAAGTCCAATTTATATCCTCACAATTAACTATCCGATCTGTATTGAGGCCCTTAAGGATGAGATGGCATCATTTTTTCCAAATTACATCGTGTTTTTTATTTGGTCTCGTGAGATCTTGTATGAAGGGAAGCGAGGTGTATAATATTGCCGTGCAATTTATGCCTGGGTCTCGCTCTTTAAGCTCTTTAACCCTTTACCATTGTTTAAATTTTATATGATTTCATTTGATATGTTTATGTCTAATTTTATATGATTTCATTTGGAATTGAATATGATCTAGTAAAAAACTGATTTAGTGATTCTAAATAAAAGTCGTTTAACAATTCATTCAATACGTAGATCAGAGCCCGTTCGGAATGATAATGTTTTCCAGCTTATCAGGCTTATCATCAAACTTTTTAACCAAACACGCAACTTTTGATTCGGTGAACTAAATTGTGTAGTAATAAGAAAAAGTAAGGTTGTAGTTACTTTTCTGGCTGTATTGGCTGAAGTTACTATAAATTACTAATTTAGCTAATTTTTCATATAACTTTTTTCTTTATTTTATTAATAAAATACGTAGTATATTATTTTTTTTCTTCATAAACCCGCAAATACAACCATTTCAACTAGAATTTGATAAATTTTAGCAGAATTAGCCGATTCAACTGATTTCAGTGTTATGAGACGGGGTCTTAATGTTAAAACACCAATAATCAACATGAAGAAGCAGTCATATATTTGTAAAATTATTGATTTAGAAAAAGGAACTTTGTAACAAGTGCTCATGGGTAAACAAATTTAAAATTTACCTATAAACATATTTATATAAGTGTGAATTTCTCAAATATGAATAAAAACGGGCTAATTGCAAAAATAAGTTCTATTTTTTTCTTCTGAAATTCGCCAAATATGAGTAATTATATGTACTTGGACTAGAATACCCCTTGCAGTGCCTCCCACCCCCCAATCACTTGCAACAGCCCCCACCGGCCACCACCTACTGAAGGCCACCATTGCTGTCGCCGGAATCCGCCAAATTTTTTTAGAATGCATTTGCCACCGTTCTGACGCCGCCACCGCCATCAACATTGGAGTGACCCGCTACCAACGGGCTGATCCGATTATGGAAGGGAACTTTAGAGGAAATTAATCGTTTTAATTTATTAGATTTGGATTGTTAAGAGTAGATAATTAATGTTTAGTCATATTTAATTGAAAAGATTTAGCTTGAACTTCTCTTTGTGAAATCAAGTTTAGGTTCTATTTAGGACAAATTCACTAATATATACTCCGTATGATATGATCAAATAAAAAAGCATAAGGTACATAGATTGTGTAATCTTTTACGGTAATGAAAACCTGAAATATTCTTACCCATGAGTAGTGAAGGATTAAAAACAAATGTGAAAATCTCTAAGAGAAAAAATGAGTCCATGGAAAAGTCCCATTTTCATGAGTCTTTTAGATTTAGTCCCATTTTCGAGACCGTTTGGCAACAATGTTTTTCGATTTATCAGACTTATCAGTCGACTTTTTCATCACACACCTAACTTTTGCTTTCGCGCGCTGGATTGTGTAATAAACAGAAAAAGTAAGGTTGATGTTACTTTTCTGGCTATATTGGCTGAAGTTACTGTAGATAATCATTTTAGTTATTTTTACATATAATTTTTTCTTTATTTTATTAATAAAATACATTTTAAAAATAATTTTTTTAAAATCAGCAGAATCAGCCAATGCAACCACTTCAGTCATAACTTCATAAATTTAAGTAGATTCAGCCAAATCAGCCAATTTTCGTGCTACCAAACGGGCACTTCATAGAAAAGTTTAGATTTAGTCCCATTTTATTACTCTTAACGTCTCACAAAACTGTACTCCGTATTAATTTTGTTATTTAATCATCTCAAAAAATTGTGTCATTTGTACATAAATTAATACTTCCTCCATTCTTTTTTAGTTACAACGGTCAAGATTTCACACTTGCCAACGCACGTCTTTGACCGTAATTATATCTTAATCTTTATTAGTAAAAAATAATTAAAAATCAGATTTTGAAAATTTGTAATGAGATAAATTGAACAATATTTTTTTAAAAAATAATTTTCATAAAATAATACCGTAAAATGTAGTCAAAGTAGAACATGTGAATAGTGTAAATTCAACATGTTGCGATTAAAAAAACGGAGAATAGTATAATATGTGTTTGAAATTCACTTCTCTTTTTGTTTGCTCAAATCTTTATCATATACTGATATACTAGTACAATTTATACTTTATTATTTCACGTGTAAGTTAAATTTCATCAAAAAAAAGGATGACACTCCATCAAAAAAGTTTAGATTTAGTCCCATTTTATTACTCTTAACATCTCACAAAACTGTATTAATTTTGTTATTTAATCATCTCAAAAAATTGTGACATTTGTACATAAATTAATATAATATGTGTTTGAAATTTACTTCTCTTTTTGTTTGCTCAAATCTTTATCGTATACTAGTACAATTTATTCTTTATTATTTCATATGTAAGTTAAATTTCATCAAATTAAAAATAGGATGACACCCCATACTTGAGAGCCCCCAGCACCGACCGGACAGCTAGCTGGGAGGATGTAAATTGAACTTTGATATCAAAAAAAGAATGGAACTCCATCCCAAGTCATTGCTTGGAGTTGAACCCGAGACCTGTTTCTTGTGGTACTCCCTTCTCTTCCCTTCCTGCCAAGTGAGCTACACCATTTCATCAAATTTTATGGGATATGGAGAGTACAAAATTACAAAAATACTATTCATGTTACCTACTCCAATTTTCTTATTTGTCCAAAATGCATTTAGCGGAAATCAAACAACCTTAAGAAAGGTGGACTTGGAAGACGACTAGCTCATCATTATTTGTCAAAACTGGAATGAGCGGATAACAGTGACCAATCCACGTTCAGTAAAGTGGCTCAGCCAAATCCGCCAATCACAATCTCTCCCCATTTCAAACTCGAAACGCAATAAAATATCCCAAGAAGAGAAGAGGGTATACGGATTGAAGCAAAACAGAGAAAGAAAAAGGCGTGTACAGCAAGACGGACTAGTATTTTGGAATCTCTTTTCTCACCTGCCAACTTCCATTTCTGTATACTTTTATGCCCCCCCTTCCCTCACTATCTTTTGTCTTCCCTCTTTCAAAAACTTCTTCAATCGGACGTTTCTGTTTGTCTTTTAAAGAAATAAATAAAAAAAGATCTGGAAAAGACTGTCAGTTTCAGTTTCCAGGACCAGTACGCTTTGCCAGTCGTTACAGAGAGAGAAAGCTCAACCATTGCGGAGGAAGAGTGCTCATGGCCTGTTTCTCCTTGCTGTTTAGGCTTCTGTTGGAAGCTGGGTGCTGATCAACGCTCTTTTCTGGTGTGAATTCGAATAAAAATCGAATCTTTTTCCATATATTTGTGTGTAGAGACAGGAAGTTACGATTTGATAAAGAGTATGGGCTTTTCACCACTTTTTTGCTGCGTCAAGGGTTCTGGGTATGACCTCTTCTTGAATTTGTGCATTTCCTTCTTGAATTATCCTTGTTGATCCTCTTTGGTTGATGCTATAATTGATTTTCAGAATGCCTGCTTAGATTTTGTCAAAATTTGACCAGTTAACCATGTACTTCTTTGTGTAGTGCTCCCTCCTTTCCATCCCACTTTTGATCTCTAATTACTAGTACTCCGTAGTAATTTGAATATTATGGAACTAGAATTAACTCAATCTTTGGCCAAGTTTTGTCAAGTTTTATACTAATATAAAACGCAGGCTGTCTTATAGGTAGAACAGAGACATAACATAATTCCTCAAATATGATTTTCATTGTTTTGTCATTTGATTTTTAGGAACGGATGAGTTCCATCTATAGAAAAGAAAAGACATTTCTAATCTGTTTTCGCGCATGACTCATGTTTTGCTCCACTGCAACATGTTTTATTTTAGCTATACAACAAGTTTGTTGAATGGGAAGGCATGTTATGTACTTTTCTTTATAGAATGCTGCATTATACAGGAAGGACAAGACAAAGAAGAAGCCAATGTGGCGGGTGTTTTCTCTGAAGGAATTGCAATCAGCTACCAACAATTTTAACTATGACAACAAGCTGGGAGAAGGCGGATTTGGTAGTGTTTATTGGGGTCAGCTCTGGGATGGATCACAAGTGAGTCATCAAAATGTCCTCCCATATATCTATCTATTGAGTTTGAGTTATCTTGCATTGCAGTTTTCACTATTCAGGTAGTTGCTAATTGTGCTATTACTGATGAAAATTAAGTTTCCTGTCCCAGCTATCATGCATACTGGATGGTCGATCTTGAAAGGGACAATATCTTAATGTGCGATTTTTTTTTTCAAGTAAAATTTTCAAATCAGGTTGTTTTCAAACGCAACCAGTCAGACAGGATTAGATGGGTTTTGGTCACAAATAGTGACCGGATTCACTTCTTACCGAAGGAACATATTGACCTTCATGTTAAGAAATCCCCAGTGTACTTAGTCCAAACAAGAGTTAGGCTTTAATTAAGCAGTGATGATTTCATGCTATACCATACTAATTTCTATGTACTGAAGTACTTTGATATTCTCATTTGGGTTATTACTTTCATTTTCCAATACACTACTAATTTTGTAGACAAACGTGTTATTGCCAGTTTTTTCCATATAATTATATATATAAATATATACGAAGTATGTTGTATTTTACTATGAAAAAAATCTCAGTAGGTGGATACTGTGTGTATTTCTTTGCTGTATACTTTTCTTTTAAAAGTGAACTAGTTTCTATATCATTAGTTTTACACTTATACTTAAACGTTAACGCCTTTAAGCTGAATTTGGCAAGTAGGAAAAATATGTCATATTTAAAAGAGAAAATCTGAAAAGAACAGATTGAAGAACAAATAGTCACTGTGTGTAAAAGAATTTTCCTCTGCTAGTCTGCTGTGACTTTGCCTGATGTGAGAAATTATAGAGGCTGTAGTAGTTTATAAACTAAATATAGCATAATATAATTAAGGGAAATAAATTCTCCAAAAATAAATATTGAAGGGAAAGAAAAAACTATAATTTCCATCATTTGCAATGGAGCCAAAGATTCATTATTTTTTGGCTTGAGAATATGATGGAATAAAGCAAAATGGCTCACCTAACTGTTTGCGCTTCTTTGTTATGAAGCAGCGGTCAATCCATGCAATTTTCGTCGCAATTTTCACTATAGGTCATCGGGAAACAGTCTCTCTGTGCTTTAGTACAGGGGTAAGACTGCGTACATCCGACCCCCCCTTACCCCACCGTAGGTGGGAGCCTTTGCGGCACTGGGGTAAATGATGATTGATTGATTGATTGGAAAGAAAAAACTATGAGGAGAATGTTTTGACATTTGGTTAGCATGTTGAACTAAGTAGTATGCGAATAACTTGATGTAGTAGCCAAAAAAGGGTGTATCACAAATTGCCAGTTTATAAAGAATCAGAAAGGAGTACTGAACCAATAATGACAAGTTCAAATTGATGGCTATGAAATGGATAAGTTCAGTTTTTATGAATTTCAAAATTTAATTACATATTTATTTTGTTAGTCACTGTCCTTGCTGGTGTCTTTTTCATTACATTGTATGTTTTGCTTGCATGACACTGCGTAAGATAAATCCCTTTTTCATTTTTTCCCCATGAATTTTTAGTGTCAACCGAAATGGTTGACGTATAGATTTCAGGTTACTGAGCCCTATTGGTTGCGATTAAGGTGTTGTAGATGATGGACAATAAAATTGAACACAACTCCAAACACTCCACATACACATAGTCTCTGTTTCAAGATTTTTCAAAAATAGAGTAAAACAAGCTTAATATGATAAAATTAGACGCACCGTAAAAACATTTATAAAGTTTAACTATATTTGTGTATATATGCATGTATTTTCCGAATGTAAGTTTTCATTATCTAAATTATTGCATTACTTAATAATGGATTGCAAAGTTTTCTATGTCTAGTTTCTTCAGTGGATGCTCTAAAGTTTCCAACTTTTATGTCCATGTATATCATTTTGATTTTTTGGATATCTTTTTTGCTTGCTCTGTAAGTTTTGGCTACTAATACTTATGAAGGTTAACTAGATTTTTTCTCACTGATGCACACTTGGACATAATGTGCAGATTGCAGTCAAAAGGCTTAAGGTTTGGAGTGAAAAAGCTGAAATGGAATTTTCAGTTGAGGTTGAAATACTAGCCCGTGTACGACACAAGAATCTGCTGAACTTACGGGGCTATTGTGCTGAAGGGCAAGAACGTCTGATTGTTTGCGATTATATGCCCAACTTAAGCTTACTTTCTCATCTTCACGGGCAGCATTCAACTGAAATCCTTCTTGATTGGAAGAAGAGAATGAACATTGCCATTGGTTCTGCCGAGGGGATTGCGTAAGTTTCATATTCCTCACTAACCCAAACAGGTCTTCACTCCCATATAAATCAGGCCAATCTCATTCCAAAAATATCTTACCTCATACTTATCCAAAACTGTTAAACATCTGACACGGGACGGTGGATACATGAGTAAAAAAGAACTCAAAGGGAACCCTACATTGCGAGGTGCCAAATGAACAAACAAACCAAAACAAGACCAGACTGTAATGCCATATTTAATTAGGTCTATCTCACCCCAAGATGGATTCTAGGTGAGGTTTATTTCTTAATTGTTTAGAAATAAATCTGGTAAATATTCTAAATCTGTCACTTACTTTCCAATCTTCGAACCCATTTTGTAAGTCCTAAAATGGATTGAGTGGCTATATTTGCTAAAGTTGTGGTTGAATGTTCTAATTTTTGGCTACATCTGTTGAGCTTATGGTTAAGGCTTCTGAACGTTCTAAAATAAAATCATTTGAAGCTTCTTCGTTTGTAAAGTAATATCAAGAAAATTATATCTAAAAATGAAGGTAGATTTTTATTCTCTTTTATTTCATCTAAAAAAGCAACTGTACTACTGTAGCACAACATTCTTTCATTTCAGCCGATTTGGCCAATACAGTGAAGTAAATAAGTGTTTGGTGAAAGTATTGATTGATAAGATGACTAAAGGTTTACCAAACAAGCTCTTATTGTCTCAGTAAACAAATATATCCCCATCTTATTATGTATGTACTCCAGGTATCTGCATCACCATGCAACACCGCACATTATCCATAGAGATATTAAAGCTAGCAATGTCTTGCTGGACTCTGATTTCTGTGCACAAGTTGCAGATTTTGGATTTGCAAGGCTCATCCCTGACGGGGCAACACATGTCACTACTAAAGTAAAGGGTACGCTCGGTTATCTTGCCCCGGAATATGCAATGCTAGGAAAGGCCTCAGAAAGCTGCGATGTGTACAGCTTTGGCATTCTTTTGCTAGAGATTGCTACTGGCAAGAAACCGATAGAGAAGGTCACCGAAACTCTCAAGTCCCCAATCACAGGTTGGGTGCTGCCTTTGGCTTGTGAAGGGAAATTCAGTGAAATTGCAGACCCAAGGCTTAATGGAAACTTCGTGGAGGAAGAACTGAAAAGAGTTGTTTATATTGCGCTCGTTTGTGCTCATTCTCAATCAGAGAAGAGACCGACGATGCTCGAGGTGGTTGAGCTCCTCAAAGGCGACTCTAAGGAGAAGTTTGCTGCTATAGAGAATGATGAAATGTTTAAAAAAACTCAGGCTGTCAGTCACAAGAATGAATTTTCTGAAGCGGAAGACAGCTCAGAATTCTTCTCGGAGGAAAAGGTATCAAAACAAGAAATTGAGACGGTTGAAATTGGTCCTGAAGTGTGAACTAATTCAAACTGCTTTGAGGATTATTGTAGAGATGTTTCTTGATTTATTTTCCACAGAATGCTGAAAGTTTGAGGTAGCCTGTGGGATACATTGGCTTTGGAATTTATGGATGATTTGAGTGTGTTGTGGGAGTGTGAATATTTATGTGATATGCAATTTTTCCCTTCCTGATTTGTTTTGTTTATCTTTGAACTCTGGATTGAACACCAAAATGTATAAGCTTTCTGTCATTTGGATGATTAAAAAACGAGGTTATTTCTTTTTTTTTTTTGTATTCTTTGCTTGGGGAGTACTTTTTCCAAGCTGACTTTGTCTTTAACTTTTCTCTTTTCATGTATTTTCCTAATAAGTGAATGATACTACTCCTTCGTCCCATTTTGTGTGTCTTAGTTTGACTTGGCACGGTTATTAATGAAGTGGTTGAAAAAGTGAAAGTTATGGTTGAGGTTCGAGTATGATAAAGTGAAATGGTGTAGACCACATATTTCTTTCCAAAAGAGGATAGTAGACACTTATTTTGGAACAACCCAAAAAGGAAAGTAGGACAAGTAAAATGAGACGGAGGGAGTACTTCGTATGTGATAGCAGTGCACAATTTGACTAACTGTCAAAAATAGTCTTGGGCCCCGTTCGGACCGCCTAACCCGTGAACTGGCCCGGCCCGCTACTGTGCGGGCCCGGCCCTTCGGTCCCCAAACCGGGTTTTGACCAAGGGTGGACTCGGGCCGGTTCGGGCCTCAGTTCATGTAAGGGGAGGCCCGAAACCGGCCCGGGTAACCCCCGGGTCCGGGTCGGGCCGGGCCTCGGTTCAATTTATACGGAGTATTTTTTTTGGCTTTTCCTAAATAACCCTCCCCCCTCACCCCCAAACCACCTCAAATGGCCCAAAATACCCAGCTCAACCCAAAAACTTAAAAAAATTCAAAAAAAAAAAAAAAGAAAACAAAATAAATTGGCCCGGACCGGGCCTGAACCGGCCGGGCCGGTTCACCTTTGGAGGGGCCCGAGCCCGGCCCGGAACCCCAGCGGGTCGGGCCTACCCGGACCGGTCCCTGGCCGGGCCGGCGGTTCGGGCCGGTTCAAACAGTAACCGGTTTGGGCTGCCCGGCCCGAGTCCACCCCTAGCTTTGACCCGAACCGGTAGGAATAGCGGGGGCGGTCCCGGTTCACCCCATTCTTTGGAACCGGCCCGGGCGGGCCCAGGCCTGGTTCGGGCCTTCTATTTTTTTATTTGTTTTTTTAATTTTTTTGGGCTTTTTCCTGAGTTGGGCTGGGTGTTTTTGGGGGGGGGGTTGGGGGTGGGGGGTCGGGGTTAATAAGAAAAGGAAAAAAAACATGAACCCGGCCCGGACCCGACCCGACCCGACCCGACCTGGACCCGGTGGTAACCCGGGCCGGTCCCGGGCCTTCAACCAAAAATAAAAAACCCGGCCTGGGCCTAGGCCTGACCCGAACCCAACCTGGACCCGATTCCATGACTAGTCAGAAACCAACTACGGAGTATTAGAAAGGAAATTCTTTTTTTTTTTCCTTTCAAAAAAAGTATTAGAAAGGAAATATACCAAAACAACCGTAAATCATTAACTCAATATACTTCATATTAATTGATATATGTGTGTATGATGGATGACATGAACTTAGAGGCGATTAGCAAACAAACTATGTATTGAACCAGTGCTCAAATTTTCAATTACACCCTTAAATTAGTATAGTCCGAGGAATTTAAAAAACACCCGGACGTTTTTTGGGGTAAAATAGGTTACCCAGAAAAGGGCCAACGATTTATCGGATCAGTTTTTTTTTTAAATTTATTAGTATTATATAGTGATATTTTATTCTCATTAAAATATACTCCGTAGTTAGTAAGGAAGAAAAATATAGATTAGTCATTTTTCTTTGGTCATTTTAGTTCTCTTTTATTCAAATTGCTTGAATAATGAGTTGTGTTGCTTTAAATCAAGTATTAAGTAAGTTTAAAAAAATTTACATTATTTAACGAGTACTCAATTGATTTTAGTATAGTATTTAGATTGAGATTTTATTTTTTGTTTTTTATATTAATGTGGGGCCTCAATTTTACATTTGAAATCGGGGCCTTCAAGCTCATCAAACGACCCTAAAACACATGATATATTGTCATAAAATTCAACTATATCACACAAGTTTTGGTCACTGATGATTAATTAATTGAATATCCTCAGATTATATTAGTGAAAATGAAAAAATGTAGATCCAAATTATAACAAATGATAAATAGAGTACGCCTTCTATCACATTATATGCCTCTTTATTACGGAGTAATATATTTTCCAATTTTAAAGGTACATTTACGTTACATTATGTATTTATTATTACTACGTACCCAGTACGTATTAGCTAAATCACATGTATGGGTGTTTTAATCACAGTTCATTCTCTGCAAGACTGTGACAAAGAATCAAATCTTTTGCCATTTAATTGGAGAGATTTCTTAAACGGAACTACAAGCAAATAAAACCTTTAATCTGTATTGGAAATTAGTTAGAGAAGCAAATAGAGTATACTTTCATTGGGTAGAAATGGAGATGGATAAAATTATGATTTTCATGGTTGTTTTGGGCAGTGTGATACAATACGGCGGAGCTCAAAAGGTTCATGTGGTCGGAGACAATATCTGTTGGTCGATACCTCCCTCCAACGATGCATATTCAAACTGGGCTTCCTTGAACATCTTTAAAGTTGGTGACATCTTAGGTAATTCTTCTTACATTTCACTCCCTCAAATCTTTAATTTCTTAGAATAACCAATATGGATGGATGGTCATGATATTCTTAAGTGTTTCCTTATAGACTACCCTTTCTTCTCAATTTGTATGTCTTTTCATTTTGTCCAATTGTTCATAAAATTTTTCATTATAAATTACTCCCGGCCTCCCGGGTAGAAACACAAAGGACAAATCTCCATCAGCGTGAAACTTTTCACTGGAAAAGTAGATTTTTGTGGAAATTCCTCACAACAACATTAATACCACATTGCTGAAGGCTTCTACCTAGGTATGAGTTTTACTCTTTTTTTTTTTTTATACTCCGGGGGGCGTCCGGGTTAGGCCTGGAATAATTAGGGCTGAAACCTATGTAGCACCGATACCGGTACGCGGAAACGCGGAAACGGATACGGGGATACGTCAAAACCAAAAAAGTAGAATACGGATACATGACCATATTTATAAATATTAAAAGTTATGAGATGTATTTACAAATATTAAAAGTTATAGGGGTCTATTTATAAATATTAAAAATAGATTTTTTTTGAATATATATATACACACACACACACATATAATATCCTATGATGTCTACCCATTCATTGCATTGAAGCATTTTCCTTTTTCAAGATACTTAGTAACAAATTTATAATATTTCTCATATACACTAGTGCATCTCGAAATATAAATGTAGTCAATAAGTCATTAATTTAAAAAGAGAAATAAGTCAAACAACTATAATCTTGAAATTAAAAGTGCAAGTACCCAATTCGGAGTATGAGTTAATGGCTTAATTCAGATATAGCCATATAGGACCATTATTTGATTACCAAGTAAAATGTAGTTTTAGATTTTCATTTTTTAGAATTTTATTAAGTAAATTTTGGGATTTTTTAAAAAAAAAAGTTGATACGGGTATCCGTCAAGATACGAGTATCGGAAACTTTCAAAAAATTACAAAAAAATGGAAACTTTTAAAAATTGCAGATACGGCCCGGGAACGTACGGTACGGGTATCCTTGAGTATCGAATACACCGATACGCTACCCTAGGGAAGTATCCGTGCCTCATAGGCTGAAACTCATTTCATTGAGTTTCGAACCTGAGACCTCCCGTAAGGGAGAGTGAGTCGGCGACGAGCTGAGTTGGACGCTTCCTCGTGGTATGAGTTTTAATCATATGTATGCATTTTCCCATATCTTAATGTGGATAAATTTATTAATTACATGACTAGTTCTATACGCGAGTAAAGTTATACTCCGTAATTAAAAATGAGTAATTTATAGGTTCCAAAAGTAAATACTCCGTATATCATTCACTTTCATATATGGTTGTAGTAAATTAAACATTTGTATATTAGGAGAAGGCACGAATATGCCCTTGAAGGCTTGAACTATAAGTTAGAGAATAAATATAATCAGATAAAGGTCGGATTGGACAATATGGTTATACGAGAATCTCATATTAGACACTAAGGTTTCAAATTGACCAAATTGGACACTATGATTATTTGTATATCTCATATTGGACACTAAAGTTTTAAATGAATCAAATTTTATGTTTTTCTAATCATTTTGGGACACTAAAACTATAAGTAATCATTTTTCTCTTGGTTTTATGTGCCTACAAAATAAAATTAACTTAATTTGTGTATTTAGATTTTTTTTGGAAGAATTCGTGTATTTAGATTTAGAATATCTATTATAATGTAATTGAATTCTTTAATATTGTTAAATCAATTTAACAAATCGATATTTCTTAAAGTTCCATAAAAATCGTATGAATGAAAAGTTCTAAATATATTTTGAAATTGTTAAATATAAAAAGTTATTAATTAAAAAGAAATTATATACTCTAAATTTTCAAATAAAATATTCCAAAATTATATACGCAATTAATTTAGTTTATTTTCACCAAATAGGAAAAAAATATAAGACTAGTGATTTTTATTAAAGGAAGAAGAGAATCATAAGTGAGTGTCCAAAAATTATGAATTATGAAACTTCAGTGTTCAATATGAGATATATATGTAACAATAGTGTCCAATTTGATCCGTTTGAAATCTTAGTGTCCAATATGAGATTCTCATGAAATCATAATGTCCAATTTGAGTCTTATCACTAAATATAACTCTCAACTTCCGTAGTTTCATTTGGAGCAATTAGACACAAAAATTATAAGGGTAATGCGAAATTTGTACATAGAGCCCGTTTGGAGAACTCTGTTTTCGGCTTATCAGGCTTATCAGCCAGCTTTTTCACCAAACACGTAACTTTTACTTTCGCGCGCTGAATTGTGTAATAAGCCGAAAAAGTAAGGTTGGAGTTACTTTTCTGGCTGTATTGGCTGAAGTTACTGTAGAGGACCATTTTAGCTATTTTTACATATAATTTTTTCTTTAATTTATTAATAACATATATTTTTAAAATATTTTTTTCTTAAATCAGCAGAATCAGCCAAAACAGCCACTCCAGCCAGAATATCATAAATTTCAGCAGAATCAGCCAAAACAGCCGATTTTGGTGTTACCAAACGGGCTCATAATATATGTATAGTAATGCGTATGATAACATCTATCGAAGTTTAAGGCTATATTTCTTCTTTCCCCTTTGTATATTCCATTTTGCTATACATAACTCTGACTATTGTGATACTGTCACTAGTGTAGTGATACACACTTGCTTCTACTATTTGACATTCCTTGATTATAATTTCCTGGGTATTTTCTAACCGAAATAATTATAAAGAAAGATGTTTGGTGCACGCCTTTCTATGCACATCACACACTTCATGTGTCTACATAGACAAAGTTCTTTGTACATAGATAACTTTGGTGTTTAGAAAATAAAAAAAGGTCATTTTTATATGTATTTTCCACTTTTTAATACTACACACAACGTGTTTCATAATATTTAAATCAAAACCCTCAATAAGTAAAAATGTTTTTACTTAGATTGTTTCGAGTCTCAGACCAAATTAGACCACACTTGGACAGTTATAAAATAAACATAGACCAAACATTTACCAGATCATACCAGACAAGTTCAGACTAGACCAGATCATACTAGATCAGATTGGAAAATTCCAATCCAAGTAAAAATATTCTAAATAGTATTGAGCAACTGTTCAATATTCTTTTCCCATTGATCCTCTTGAGAGTATCTTTTTATAATGGCAACAGGATAAGATTAGGGGATTGTTCCAAAAAAAGTAAAAGTATCTTAATTTTCTATATTGCCACATACGATCGTGTAATCCATATATCAGATCTTTTCTCTTAATCTTTAAAGTATATGCTACTCGCCTACTCAGTGCTAAGCTAGGTATTGTCTTTTAAAGGACTTCAGTTATTATCTTTGTGGTCGTATTAGCAATTTTATTTTAATACCAACTCAACGATTGGTACCACATCAGGGCGGGGACTCAGGAATGGATCTAAGATTTCGAGTCAAGGTGGGCAAAATTTTTTCGTTAGTGTAATGGGCGAAACTTTTTTTGCTGGTGTAGAGGGGCAATTTTTTTCGCTAATGTAGTGAATTTTTTTTTTCCGCTAGTGTAGCGTGGCGAATTTTTTCACCATTGTAGGGCTTTGTGGCTAATTTTTATTAAAAAAAATCATTAGTACATACACAATAACATTTAAATTCATTACATTCTAAGTTTAGACAATGGAAAAATCAGTGTAATTTTGTAACCATAATTGCTGTAGAAAAAAGTATTGATACATCAAAACATAAGAACTTGCAAATGAAAGGAAATTAATTTGAAAATAAAAAGGATATATAACATTTTGTTGAATTATTTGAAGCTAAAAAAAAATTAAAAGTACACATCAATATAATCAATGCCATGCCTTTTAAATAACTTATGCCTTGTTTAGCCACATGAATCTTATCAGAATAAAAAATTGTTTTTGAATCGTAGTTTTTGTCTACCAAGAAGGGTGTTCATGGTCACGAGGAGTTTTCTTAATATTACAATAGTATGTATGAGCTTATTATTTTTAGAATAATATTATACATAGTATTGTTAGTTCGTATATATGGTGCATATGATGTTTGTATTAATGCTAAAATACATTAAAGTTTATTATTTATGCAATAAATTGCTTTTAGAAAGTAAGAAATAAATGAATTGTACTCCATATGATCTAAGACTATTTAACGTCAACAAACATTTATATTTGGATTCACTTCATATGATCTAAGACTATTTAACTAGTATGTCTGGTATTAAATATCGTTTGATTTTGTACAAAATTTAGTACTAATTATCTAATAAAAATAATTAAATATTACAAAGCTAGGAGTTTTTATATAATAGGTATCCTAAGTCTTAAACTATCTAATATATTTTAGATTTTACTTCTTTTAAATCTCCAATTATGTATTACACTATGTAGGGCTATATATTAACTTTGAAAACTAAAAGTTAAGGGGGGCGAAAACATATATATTTAATTAAAGTATGAAAATACTACATATATAGTAGAAAATTTTGAAAGTCCAAGGGGGGCGGTTGCCCCCCCCCCCCCCCCCGGATCCGTCCCTGGGCGGGGTCAAGATTGCCGACCCATTGAAAGTTATGATTGACGTAATCAGGGCCGGTCCTAGGGGGTGCAACAGGGGCGACCGCCCTAGGCCCAACAAAATAGCAAGAAAAAATAGGCCCAAAAATATTTCTTTATATGCAGTGTGACTAGACTTCTTTTTTTAATTTTTAAACTCAATTAATTATACCCAAGGTTTAATTTTTAAAATAAACGTAAAGAGGCACGTCTGGCTTAATTGTCTTCACATCTTTATGCTTTATAATCCTTTTAATTACAATATTACCAAGTTACGTTAAGCCTCCCAATTCTAAAATTCCCAATTGGCAAAACCCATCCAAATTGATTTGTTGTTCCCAAAATCAACAAGATTAAAGAGCGCTGCAAAGTGGTGAGTGTCTCAGCGGTTTGTTAAGAACTCAATCAACCGAGGAGGCCAAACGACGATCGGTGACCAAAAAACTTCTTCTTTAAATCTTCAAACAATCCAATAATGACCAATAAAGTGATAAACCATTCTTAATAAAATGGGTGAATCAGGTTGGGATAAAGAGAGAAAGAGGAGAAGGTTAGAAAAGGTGTGCTTAAGTTAGAAGGGGTCAATGGAAAAATTTGTTTTTGTTAAGAAATTGAATTTTGAAAATTTCGCAAGAAACATTTTTAAGTAATGTTGTTCAAAGTTGAAGATTTTAATGAATTATCTGTGATCGAATATGTCTCAAGAAAGACTTAATGGGATAACAATTTTAAGTATTGAACATGAGATATTGAAAAAAGCTGATTATGAAGCAATCATTGATGATTTTGCTTCACAATGTTCTGCGAGAGAGATCTTTAAGTAATGTTTTTCTTTTAGGTTATACTTGTGTTGTTAGTTTTCACCAAATATGTATTTTAAATGATAACAATAAAATGAGATTCTTTTTTATTTTATGACCTTTATTAGATAATTTTATTATAATTATTATTTTAAATAAGTATAGTTTATTGTTTGTCTTGAATATAAGCCCAAAACATTATCTCGCCCATAGGCCCGAAAATAGACAGGACCGGCCCTGACCATAATTTATAACGGCTAAAAAGTTAATCATATTTTAAGTTAGATTTTGCCACTTCACTATGTGCTTATTTCATTTGCTTGTGTGGTTTATGAATGAATCCTAGAGTTCGACTTCAAGAGTGGAGAACATAACGTGGTAGAAGTGTCAAGAGACTCATTTGAGACGTGCACCACCAACATTGCCATCAACACACCCATCACCAACGGACCGGCCCGCCTCACCCTCAACTCCACCGGCGATCACTTCTACATCTGCTCCTTCGAAACCCATTGCAAGCTCGGACAGAAGCTGGCCATAATTGTCGTTTCTGATGCCACACCACCGTCGGGACCTAATAATAGTTGTACTCCTCCGTCTCCGCCTGCTTCCCGTGCCTCCCCAACACCATCACCATCTGTTCCTTCCCCTTCAAACTCGACTACTGGACCGTCCGGTTCGACCGCTCCGTCGGATGGGGCTACAGATCCTCCCAAATCTGATCATCGTTCTTCTTCATCAGCTATGCTGCATGCTGGCTTTGCGCTAACATGGGCTTCCATTGCATTAGCGTATATATATAGTTGAGATTGAGATTTGCCTTTTATTCAATTAGATTCATATTCTATTCATGATTCTTATATAATTCATGAATCACATATAAAATATGGATCACAATAAAAGGTTTGCCTAAAAGTTCTTGGAAAAATTGGCTTGGGAATGCGAATGATAATAAGATTTGAGACTTGTCTTTTTTACTTCTATGCGTATAATATAAAAGTAGTATGTATGAAGATAGTTATCTAGTTGAATTTGATGACATGGACAATTTTGGTATTTTGTGTCATACTTGTATGTATACTTAAGTTTAATTATTTAATAAATGAGAAGATTCACTCATTTTGCCACAACATCAACACTTTTTGTAGAAATTATCAATACACATGAATGAAGAAGGAGGGGAGTTGTTGTTCTATTTATGAAATTAAAGGAAATGAAAAGTATTAAAAGAAGTTTTACTATAGATGAAATTATGGGTATACAATATTTTTTACTTTTTTTTTATAGAAAATGTCGCCTGATAAATGAATTTATAGGCATATAGCACGTCTATAAGCCTTCAAACAAAAGCCCACAATAGAGGGTTCATGCAGAATTGGAAGCCAAACACATCCCCCAACAACACAAATTCAAGCCAATCATGAAATAAAAGAACAAAAAGTTTTTTTATTCTTTTGTTTCAAAGTAGACGAACGCCAATAAGTTGATCTCAAAAAACAAGAACATCATTCAGCGACAAAGAAACCCGCTAATCAACAATGTTGTTTGACTACTGCTGAGAGACCTTCATGAGCACATCCATTCAATGTTCTAAAATTCGCTAGGCGCTAGTCGGGCGGCAGAGCACCGCCTAGCGCCTAGGGCGCCTAGGCGCCGATTAGTCGCCGACTAGGCGGCCAACTCGGTTTCAACATAATATTAAAAAAATCTTAGCAAAAATAATATATTAAACAAATAATGTTTAAAGTTTAAACATAATAAATTCATGTTGATAAAATTCATTAGTACAACATGACAGGATTTTGCAGATATAATGTATGCTTGGAAATCTATAATCACCAATTGAGAACCAAAAGAAGCTTAATTTACAATCTTGGTGTCTGTAGACTTTGCAGGAGCTTCATAAGCTTCACATTTCCTTTAGATTTCATGTAAATACTACAAAAGTCCAACTAATAAATGAGCTAATAATGATTAACTATAGCTATAATTGCCAACAACACAAATAGAAAAGCCATATAGAAGTGCTAAAAGACACTAGTTATCTGGTAGGAATATATTTTTTTAATTCCAAAACAAGTGAGCATATTTATGAAGTATAGTTATGTATTCATCTCTATTTACTTTTAACTTAACATGCAAATAAATTGCTACAGAGAAACACCACAAATACTGGTCCATAAGGTGAATGTAAATAATAGAAATCATGTTAAAAAGCCTCCACATGTATTGATGTATATGTTAATGCCTCAACTGCCTAATGACATACAGAAAGCAGCATTTAGAAAATTTTACAAGGCAAATGTTAATTATCCAAGGAAGTTCATGATCACCAAATGGAGCACTAGATTGCAGAGAACAAAATCTCCATAAGCTCTCTGAACTCCTTGTTGTCTTTGTTTACTTGGATTCTAAGACAAACAGCTAGGATTGTTGTCCCTGTACAAGAAAGTACACCTGAGAGAAAGGAACTGAATGGAAATGTTCCAACAATGACTAGAAATCATGTAGGAATAATTAAACACTAACCTAGAATTTCCATATGGTAATACACTCATATTCAGGTGAAGATATACCACAAACAACTGGCTTCTCAATGGAAGATAAAGAAATAGAGAAACATTTAAGAAAAAATGGCTTTTTTAGGAAAGTCTAAGTAATTGAAAAAAATTACTAGTTCAAGTTTGCATGTTTCTTTGAGGATTTTTATCAAACATGTAGCTCCAATCCAAGTTTCTATCAAACATGTAGCTCCAATCGTAAGTCAATCTCACTGCTCTTGTAGACAAAAACGAATTACATTCAAAATTTCTCAAGTAAGTATCATGTCTCAAGAAAACTTAGCACATATTTCCAGAATTACCTTATTAACAAAGGAAATATAATAATACATTGAAATTACGATTACCTGGACGGCGCTGGACTGCTAGACACTGGAAGAAGGATCTGTAAACTAGGGTCACCGTTCCAAAGCGAAGAAAGTCTGCGTGGATTGGGTGAACGAGAAGAAAGAGTCAGAAAAAATTAAACTACTAAAAAACACAGCCTTCTTTTTGAAGGTCTGGACCGACTAATTGTTCGCGCTAGGCGGGCGATAATTGACGATTAATCGAGAACGGCGGCCGACTACTCGGCGGACCGATTTCTTGGCCGAATACACAATAATCTCTACAGCAGTGTGCCGCCTAGCGAGTTTCCAGCGACTAGGCGGCCGATTTTTCCGACTTTTAGAACAGAGCATCCATTACCTCTGCAACTTTGGCCTTGAGAGCTTCGGGGGACTCAAGCAGATGGAGAACCTCTCTCTGATCCATTTCCAGAAGCATGCCAGTCACCTTGGTTGTTGCCACAGGCTCCAGCTGACCCACCAGTGGGTATAAATTTTCACATAACATCATTCTTTGTAAGGAATAATTGTACTTAGATTTTGATGATGCTAGGTTAGATTAGAATTTTAATGTACCCCTTATAGAAATTTTGTATTAGAATTTTTCCTTGTAAGTTTTAGCATAGTTGACGGGTCAGAGATACTCTTGATACTTCTGATCTGAGCTGCTAGGAGAACTGCTCCATGAGAGTTGCTCTTCAGAGAAGCATCAGAGCTGCTATGAGAATTGCTTTCAGAGTTGCTCGTAGCTAGCTATGAGAGATGCTAGCTAAACTACAAGTCTGATAATCCATGAGAGCTGCTCATCAGGGAAGCATCAGAGCTACCAGCAGAGCTGCTCATCAGAGAACAATCAGAGTTCGACGTAAAGCTTCATCAGAACTCAACCTCAGAGAAGCATCAGAGTTCCTTAATCTAAGTTCATCAGAATCCAAGGTCAGAATGCCATCAGAAAATCTCATCAGACCTGGATGGACACTTAGAAGATTTTGAAGCTGCTTTAAACGGCCGTATAACTAACGGGAAATTCCCTAACGGCTAGAAGATATTTCATCAAAGGAAAGCATTTAATGCTCATTTATTGAGCCTGATACGTTGTGGAGTAATTGCAGATGATTGACCGAGATTTCTGGAGAATATTATACAAAAATAGAAACCTGCCAAATATGCGGGTCCAACCGGTCAACTCCACAGTACGCGCATTCAATGCAGTTGTCTCCTTCTCCAACGGGTAGACAACCTCAGTATAAAAGGATACTCTATGAAGAACATTGCAAGAACTTTTGCTCTCGAAATATTAAAACAAGCTCTCTTGAGATTCAAACTCCATATTCATTACACAAGACAAAAGCTTACGTTGGGAAGATTAAACTACTCAGATCCTCCAAACCCAACGAAGAGCAAAGTTCCTACTGTTCTTCAACAACTTCAAGCACTTCATCAACAAATCTATTGTAACGAAGCAAGTTGGAGAAAAACTCTGTTTTTCGAAACATCTTCTGCAAAGAAAGACGTCCAATTAACTGGAGTAGTGAAGTGGTGATACTTCCGGGAAGCTCAGTGAAAGGACCAGCCATCAGGAAGCGGAACTGCATCCCGGGTGGCAACTAGGCTTGAAGAAGACGTGGAGTGCTTCTTAAGTGCTAGGGACTAAAGCGTTGTAACTGTTGAATTTACAAGCTTAGTGGAACAGTGGACCAGAGGAACGTGTTGTTCCTTGAACCACTATAAAAATCCCCGGTGTCATTTACTATACTGCATTTAATTTCTGTACTTAGGATTCTAACTGTATAACTCTTAAAAACTTGGAATCTGTGTTCAGCAGATCTTGTGTTAAGAATTATCAGAAAGGCATTTGCCTTAGTAGGTTCTTGAGGCTACCCAGACAGAATTCATATCCGCTGCCTGTTCCAGTTCTGCCATCAGAATTCGACCATCTCTGTCATCAGTTTGGACCACCTCTTATAAGTCAGTTTTTTACTTAGAGAAAAATCTGTAAAAACAAAGCAGTCTATTCACCCCCCCTCTAGACTGCTACATACTCAAACGGGACCAACATTCTTTGATTAGCAGGAGAAGCACCAGCAAGAGCAGTGGCTAAAACACCAATAGGCGATGGTTGAGCCAACCCTGAATCGCGAATAGGAAGAGCACCCATATCATAAGGGACAGAGAACATGCCTTCAGCTACACCTAGGATAGAAACATCAGAAATACCACAACGGTCAGCTGCTGCGTAACGATATCCACCACGTCCTCTATGAATCATCTGTTGCTGCTCAGTGGACCCGGTTGGTGCGCCTGCTGTTGCATCAGTGGACCCGACCCTCCATGTCTGCCTGAAGGACACTGACCTTGCTGACCTTGTTGAACAAGGGGCATCGAGAAATTTGTCATGTGCCCCCAGCAGGCCTCATACCAGGTATAATCTGTTGTTGATACCCAAAACCAGATTGTGGAGTAAGGAGAGGTGGTGGGTGGCCATAAAAGATTTGTTGCCCTAAACCTGGGGGACCCTGGGGATACATGGGCATACGAGTACCAACTGAAGGTGCAATTGCAATCAGGCGCATCTGGGAAAACTGAGCCTGTGATCATGTACGTCCATATTCTTTTCCTTATGCAATGGCAACATACAAAGGTTTTCCATTGATCATCTGACTATTAATCTCGGCCAACGCTTTAGATGCATCATCACCAATAGAGATTGGAACATTGTGATTTGTCGACTTCTTCCTTTGCAATATGTTCAAACTTCAAAACGGTGTTTCAATTCAATCTCTCCGTCAGATTTCTTCTAAGCTCTTCCAACAAACCACTCTTTATTATCACATTTGTGGCCATTAAGCACTTCCATTGATCTAGCCGCAT